TACCGAACTACATAACAAATGAAGATTCAATTCATCTCCATCTTTCACGGAATGTAGAAACAAACTTTAAATTTCATTTGTGAAAAAAATTAATCATAAAAATTAAGAGCAAGACATGAAACAATTTACATGCATACTAATAGCTAACTTGATTATTAACCTGGTCCGTGTAGACAATATATCCGTAATTCATTATAGCAGGTCTTATGAATATATGAATTTAATAAATTAACGTTTACAAATGTTCCATAACGTATAAAGTGGGAATACAATGAGGTAATGGCGCCCTGACTGATTTCTTTAAATTTTACAAATTACTATAGTTACATAGATTATACAATAGATTGTACAATAGATAGATCTATTGAGTTACATTACTATAGTTAACATTACCTGTAAAAAAAGTATTCTAGAAAGGAAGGTTTTGTGAGACGTGCAGCTTGACTATGTTTAACTACAATCTAATGATTGTTTTTGAGTGTGTTATCTAAATAATCTTTTGTTAGTAATGTCTTTCTACGAAATTTTCGCAATTCGCCGTTTATGAAGGTCAAAATATCCTATAAAAAAAGTATAAACTTCCATACGGCAACCCAACCCATTTCGTTTTCATGTCAATAGTGTTTTATAGTTAACCTTTATTATAAGATTAAAATAGAAACTATTGATGATCTCTTCCTTATCTATTAGGTAAACCATGAAAAAAGATTTTGACTTTCTGCCCGATAGGATAATTACTCTGCACTGATTTGCGTATACTAGCGAGAAAATACATAGCAACGTTATATATTCGAAGTCTAAGAGAAAATGCATGCATCTATCATGATTTAGATTACAATTTCGAACCGGCTTGAGCTTGAGCGTCCACTTTTATTTATGTATTTTGTAGTATGCTGAAAGGTAGAGTTACTAGCATGATGATCTAATGCTAACACAATTATAAATATTCCTTTGTTTATCAGAATAGCAGGAAAAAACGTATAATAGTAGGAAAAAAACCGAATGCAAAAAACTGTGAAATGCGCTTTTCTTCTTCCTCTGACATGAATTACACCGTTCTTGACGTGATAATATGCGTTGAAGGAAACTGCTGCTGTTCTGATTTTCGTTTTGTTTGTGTACACAAAAGTGAAATTTTTTCTGAGAAAATAAATCTCATTTGTACAGGTAAAGCATTGACTCTGTGAAGTATACTGTTCCCTAATATTCTTACATCTCAAAAATATGTATGCTGTAATCACAATTATAATAATGCTATATTTAGTTCTCTAGATACGAGTTCTAAGTATTTTATCATTTATGTTGGACTAGTCATAATGGCTAAAACCACTCAGATCAGATCGGGATTTTCCGGGTTTGGTAAGCGATATTGTCTGCAGTGTGCGAAAATTTTTTCATGTCAGTATGCTTTCTTTTGTCTTTGTAGAAAGATGCTGTCGTCGATGAAATAAACGCTCTGGAAGATATTTCAATGCATACTGAGAATGATGCAGTGAGGGCAGCAGCAGAAGAAAGGCTTGAAGATATGGACTATTTACTATCTGATATTCTCAAACACGATGGTGTGGATCCAGAAAACGAAGGTGCGGATCCGGAAAACGCTGATGTGGACCCAGAAAACGATGGTGTGGACACACAAAAGGCTGATGTGGATCCCGAAAACGATAGTGTAGACCCAGAACACGATTTTATGCACCTTAAAAACTGATAAATCACAAAATGTCTTAATTAAATGATTTCCTTTTAATGCTGTTAAGTTTTTATTTAATTGAGTGTGACGACACAGTGACTGATGAATTTGTAAAAGTAGAAAGAAATTTTATTAGAAATATTTTAGCCCAATAAAATCCATAAATATCTTTGTTTCAACACGTGGAAAAAAACCAAACCAGAGGGAAAATGATGCATGGCTATACATCCTCTCTCAGTAGCATGGTCACAAGAGAAAGCCAGAAAGTCTTGACAGTAGAAAAAGCCCATTTAAAAGTTTAAACCAATTTAATTGGCATGTCATAAAATTTTTGTTGACATCAATTCAGTTCTAAATAATTCTACTGATGCGAACGTTGTGCTCAGTTTTGAATCGATCATTAAGGCACACTGTGCTATCAGAAAAAGGGAACAGAACTTTGCAACCTTATAAACAACACGTTTTCCGACGATTTTGCAACGCACATATTACAAGTCGGACGTCGAGTTCGCTCTCGTGTTCATCGGATGATCCAAATATACTCACGGCGAAATCATTGATTAGTATTGGAGCACTTGTGGCAAAATTAAAACCTTCAACAGATAACGAATCTAAATTAAGAAAACCCGTGACTGACCACCTGTTTTCAGAAAAGGTTAAATATTGTACGAAATATATTCAAGATTGCATGTTACTTAAAGACCAATAACATTTCGTCGGCATGTAGATCACAGCCTGTCCACATAACGCGACACTTCAATGATTAAGTTTTAAAATCATATTTTGACAAAATAGCTTAAGCTATATTGTAGCGTAGTCGATAGTGTAATCAAATACATTTCAGCTACCTGATCGGTCTGAGTTGACCCGCTACACGTACAGGAGACATTTTATATAGTACTATTTGCTTGATCGACTTTTCTCAATCTCACGCAGTCATCAAAGTTTTATCCGAAATCTTTCTTTATTACACAATATAGTATTATATGTCAGGTTTATTTTGGCGGTTGAATAAAATTTCTTTTCGTCCTTTTCTGGTCATGATCAAAGCAATAGTCGATAAATCCAATGTCACAGCGTTACTAAAAGAACTTTTAATTTCTCCCAGGTGCTTTATAATATTTCATCAAACTAGTTAGGGGTTTATCGATAACTTTTGACGGGCTATCTGACCTACTAATCTTTTTATTTCAAACCGACTCCATTTTGGATGAAATATCGGTAACGCTGTGATAAAAATTTGATACAACGTACTTTTTCTACCTACAGTAGATTCTGTTATTTCTAGGACAGAAAAGCGCATAATTGTTTTTCAACTTAAGGGTTAAAAAGAGAAAAATCAGAAACAAATGTTTTAAAAAAAAGGTGTTGGTTAACTGCTGTTAAGATTTTATTTAACTTCACACAGTTTTCATTCCTTATTAATCATTGCGTTTGGAAATATAATTTTAATTTCATGATTTTTGATATGATAAATCATATCCTCTGGACGACGGCGATTTATTTGTAAATACCATTTTTCTCATCTGCTGCTTCCTGAGGCAGTCAACTTTTCCGTGAAAACATCGGTGAATAAAGAAGAATTACAAACATACCGTACAGAACTATTAGGCACTGATCATTTTTTTCTTTTCGATCCAGTATATGACTGATTGTTACACAATGGTAGTCATTCTCTTTCACATTGTATAAACACATGTAATGTTTACGTTTAAAATGCTTTAAGAATTGCCGAAAATGCGACGTTTGTCATTTTGATCGATTTAAGTATTCAAACCGATTCTGCTTAACGTGAAAAATTCTTTAAACCGAGTCGCCACGAAACCGGGCTAAATAAAAATAGCTAGAATGTGTAACAGAAGCATCAACATATTCGGAAATATCCTTAATGCATTGTTCAGTACTGAAGAACTAATATTCACACAATTATGTAGTTCAACTAGTTAACGGAACAGCAGTACAGATGCACACCTGCCTAAACAATGAGAAAATAATGGAATAATGGAATAGGACTTTGACAGCAACTGCCTTTAAAGGAACTATGGTGGAACCTGTTTTTTTATGTATTTGATACAGCGTACTTTATGGTATGGAAGCTCATGAAAAGCAAAAGTTACGCTGCGGAATAAGCGAGGTTTCTCAAAATATTCATGGAGTCCTATATATGCAGCACAGTGTGTCATAATCATAAGAACTCCTTTGTTTTGATTTTTCATCAAAAGCTGGTACCAATAAGACGGCTGCATTTATATTTGGAAAAGAAGTTGAAAGACTTGTTA